CCCGTCCCGCTGCCCCAGCCCTCCCTCCCGGGGTGGCCGCCTGGGTGTCCCCTGCATGCAGCACCCCCCCCCGGCATCTGGCTCCGTGTGCCCCTGGGGGCGAGGCCCTCTGGCAAGGTTGGCTCACCTGCCCCACGGGGATGTGCTGTGGGAGCAAGGTGCCCCCCATTACCCACCAGCCCCTTTGCCTCCATCCCGCCTGGCACCCCAAATGTGCGCCCTGGCATGGAGCAGGAGACACTGGTCACTACTCTACGCCCCCGCAATGTCTCCTGTGCCACATGGGGTACGTGCCAGGTGCTTGAGGTGCAGGGGATGGAGGAGCAGGACACCCCAGATGCTTCGTGCTGCAGTACTGGGGGGCAGCTGGGGCATCTATGTGCCAGGTGCCACGTGTGATGTCAGTGCCAAGGCAATGTCATGGGCATGGGGTCCTTATTCCTCGTGGATGGCCCTGCCAGCCCACGTTCTGCTGGCCACAGGCATAGCTGTGGTCACACGTCCCAGCAAAGAGCTCGTACCCAGACACAGCCAGTGCCTGGGGCACAGGGAGAGCCGGAACCCGAGCCAGGTGAGGGAGGGCAGTGCTGGGGCCGCATTCCCCCATCCCCTTGGAGATAGGCTGGGCTGGGGGTTGCAAGGCTCAAGACCCCATTAGAAACCCATTTGTCTGCAGGGGTTATCTGGGGCACCCCCTCCCCTTCCCGCAATCGATGCCCCTGCCTGGCCAGCGGGCTCTGCGCTGCCCCCGGCCCCTGCCCGCCGGATAAGGCGGCTCCGTTAATGGGCGACTGAGCAAACAGCCTGGTGCAGGCAGGCGATAGCAGCTGCCCTTTGTCCCGGGCTGGGGGCAGGGACTGTCCCCCCAACCCTGGTGGGATCCATCTGCTTTTGGGCCACTCTGGAAACCTCACCTGCACACCCTGCGCTCACCTGCAGCCCTCCCCATGCCTTCTGTGCCGGGTGCAGCACCCATCACCGCATCGCCCAGGGATGCTCACTGCCGGACTGAGGGTGGGCTGAGCTCATCCCGCCCTGGCCAAGCCCCGGAGATGGCACCATTAATGTGTAACTGCCGGGGAGCACGATAAGATAGAGCGGCGCTTTATCGGGGCTGCCCGGTAGCAGGAGGGAGGGTGCTGGAGGCATCAGGCTGTCACAGGAGGAGTGAGATTGCCTGGAGATAAATGGTGGTAGAAAATAACTAATCTGTGATGGATGGGCTGGGACAGGGCAGCCGGGGAGCTCGGCTAATTGCCATGGGAGCTGGGCTGGGGCTGGCGAGACCTGGGAGCCAGAGCAGGGAGGTGGAGGCAGAGGGAGGCTGCGTGTGCAGGATGGAGCTGCCAGTGTGCGGGACGCCGAGCACACCTTGCCCCACGGGTGTACAGCGTCCCAGGGCTGTCCTTGTAGCACTACCAGCACTGGTGCTGTGCTGCTTCTGGCCACGGACAGATTCCTGGTGCTCAGCCCACCCTGTCCCCCAGCCCGGTCCAGCCCCCAGCACCCACAGTCTCTCCCAGGAAGGTGCTGGGGGTAACAAGCACCCTGCGCCGGCTGGCACCCCACCAGATGAAGGTGAGGGGGATGGTGGGGCAGAGGGGGGGAGTGAGGGGCTCCCTGCCAGCTGGCCTGCCCCCCCCTCCCCCCGTCTGTCACGATGCCTTCATTAGTGCCACTGAGTCACCTCTTGGCAGCGTGGCCATGCTGGGGGGAGCAGGGCTGGCCCCAGGAGAGGGGTGTCCATCCCCTGCTCCCGCCCTGCCAGGTGTCCTGGCAGCCTTGTCCCTGAGCTGAGGCCTTGCCCATACTCTGTGGGGGTGCCTGCTGCACCCCCGTTGCTTCCTTAACCCTTCCCTACCCAAGCTGTGGGGGGGACACAGCCAGGGGAGGTAGAACTGAACTGTACTTTGGGGAAGGGGATGGCCCCAGGGCAGCTTGGAGCTGGCACCCTTCCCTGTGTCCCATCTGCGCAGGCTGCTCCGGTGCCCGCATCCCTGTCCGGCGCCCGCGCAGCCAACTGGGGGACCGCCACTTGTGCCTGTCGCTCCCGGGAGCCGGCTGTGCCCCCGCCTGGGTCACCCGTCACAGCAGCGAGACCGGAAGCGGGGCCATGGGGGCTGCCCCCTCCGCGGTGGGGACCTCGGGGACTGCCAGCCAGGGTGGCACGGTAAGAGGACATCCCCTGGGGGTGTCCCCTCACCACTTTGGGCCTTCCCCATGCACCTGTGCCTGGCTGCAGCGCAGAGCAGATCTGAGCCAGGGGAGCAGGAGACTCCCAGAAAATGAGATGCTGAGCGGGGTCCTGGTCACCTCTTCCTGTCCTCTCCCATCATGTCCTTCCTCCATCTCCCACAGATGGGAGATGGGCAGAGATGTATCCCCTGGGCCTGGGTGGGCTCTTGGGTGGGCTCTCTCCCATCCTCCTGTCCTCCCCATCCTCTCGTCCTCCCTGTCCCAGCCCCATACCAGTCTCCTGGGTCTCCTGGCTCCCCAGCTGCATCAGTGCTGGCCATGGGCTGCACCTGCCGTGGAGCAGGGACCCTCGGGATGGGACAGCACACTGGGGCTGGCCGTGCAGGGACATGCACCCTGGGGTGTCCGGCAGCTCCCGGGAAAGATCACCCTGACGTGGGGGGCAATGCGGGGCTGGCAGCATGGCTCCATGGGGGTGGCCCTGCCTGGGGGTGGCCGAGGCAGGTTGGGACATGGCTGCGGGCACCGTGGGGCCGAGCTGGCCTGGGGGGCGTGGGACCGGCGGGGTGGGCAGCGGGCAGGGGCAGCGGTGGTCGTGCACTTGCCCTGCACCCACACACGCTCCCGCTTGCCCGACAGCCCCAGGAATGCGGCTGGCAGCGCTCCCGGCCCAGCTGCGGGGCCGAGGCCACCCTGGCGCCCTCCCAGTTCCACACCCCCCCCTCCGCAGCTCCTGGCCCGCCAGCCTGCACACAGACCCCCCTGTTCACTGCTGACCCCTCCTGGCCCCGTCCCCCCCCTCTGCGGGGCAGGGAGGGGGCATGTCCTGCATGGGGATGCCTCTGGGGAAGACCTCCTTTGCACAGCACTGTGCTCGGGGACACGGGGACATGGGGACCCTCTCCGCAGTGCTGCTGGCCCCCTGCCCCCTGCTCCCAGCACAGCTCCGTCCCCGTCACGGGGACAATCCTCGCACGGCGATGGCTCCCAGCCCACACCTCTGCCAAAGCTGGACCTTGGAACCTTGCTCCGAAACCACATCGACCTCTGCTTGCCTGTCTGCAGGAGGATGCTCTGTGTGTGCATCCCCACCCTGTACACACCTACAGAGTGTGCTGGGGGGCTGCCCCCACCCTCTGCAGGGGCTCCCAGTGCAACGGGGTCCTGGTATCACCCATTGGGAAGGACACAGCTGGATGCGGCGGTGCTGTGGAGGGTTGCCCATCCTCTGGGTGCCCATCCTCAGGGTGCCTGGGCTGTAGGGCTGGTGGACCCCAGGTCGGGGTATTCCCCATGTCCTGCATGAAGGGGCAGGCTGGGGCATTTGGAGCTGTTTTCCAGTGGCTTCAAGTGTGGGGGATGTGCCCCCACTACCACCCCCATCCTGGTGCACACACCTGGCGTCTCCCAGGAAAGGTTATCAGCTCATCATCCTGCCCCGCTGTCTCTGCGCACCTCCCAAATGTCACCGTTGTCCTCGCTGGGGTGTGAGCTCATTGCTCCCGCTGCCGTTAATGAAAGTCCCCCCGCCCAGCGCCGTGTGGAGCAGCTGCCAGGGCCTGGCCCTGCCGTGGCCCTTTTGAAGGCGAG